AGCTCACTTTTTATATATAGGAAATGCTGTTTTGTCCATAGGAGATACTCTTGCTTATCCAGATTTTGCGTGATCTTTATATTGAAGAGTCATTTGTTTTTTAATGTGATTTGTATTTTTTATTTATTTTTATTTTGTTTTATAGAGAGAAGGGCTTTCTAAATTCAACAAGATCTATGAATTTGATTATTATCTGTATGGCCAGGTAGGTGATAAAATATTTTCATCATAAAGCTGAAGTGTGCTTTCAGATGCATATGCTATTTTGTTGTACATTCCTTCGGTTTTCAACTATACTGAAAAGAATAGCTGTTTATTATAAATCTCCCCTAAATTGCTTGTGCCTTAGAGTTAATCAAGAACAATTGGTCACCCTTATCATATATAAAACATCTTATATATGTCTTAAAAATAACTATTACATAAACGTCTGTGCCAGGGAATTAGCTCAGTGGTGCCGCCACCTGCCTCAAAAGTGCAAGGTCCTGAGTTCAATCCCTGGTACCAAAATAAATAAATAAGTAAAGGTCCTTAGTTACAGATGATAATTTTATGACCTATAAGGAGGAGGTGTGGTCCCCCTACATCTCTCTCTCTCTCTTTGTGTGTGTGTGTGTGTGTGTATGTGGTGCTGGGGATGGAACTCTACCTCATGCGTGTTTGGCAGGCACTATACTACCAAGCTGCACCCAAGCCCTGAGGAAATTTTAAATGATACAGAAGGTGGCATCGTAGTAGAAGAGTTGGTGTGGTGATTGGATTGCCTATGGCTTTTGGCCTTGATGGATCATGTGTATGTTTATTTCTTCCCACGCAACTGTTTTTTGGGGTTTTTTCTGTAATAGAAGTCCCTCCCTTTCATTTGAATGATTTGGTAAATATAATTACAAAAAGACTAACTTGAATTTTGTTATCATTCAGAATGTTACCATGATAATGACTTCGGTTTCTGGACACTTGCTGGCTCATGATTTCCAGATGCGGTTTCGAAAATGGTCAGTACAATTCCTAGGGGAAGGACTGTCTGGTTATTACAGTAAGTTGTTACAAATATAGGAATCTTTTTTTTTTTTGGTACCGGGGATCGGGACCTCACACTTGCCAGACAGGCACTGTGCCACTGAGCTAAATCCCCAGCCCCAAATATAGGAATCTTGAAGTATGTTGATATTACCATGTAACTTAGAGTACCAAGATGACCAAGGGTTGTCTGATTCATTGTAAATTTTTATATCTTTAGAATAAACAGCCACTTTTAGATGCTCCCCCAAAATAGACCCCTTTCATGCAGCTGTTGGATTGCATTTGTTCGGTTGCAAATGTGCATAAAAGGGTTCCAAATGTTATCTTAACAACTTCTGTTAATCTTCACTGGAGAGAGGACATTGTGCTGTGCAGAGGATCATGGCTTTGCTTTTAATCTTTTGGACCATTGGCCTTTCTCTTTCTCTTTCCCTTTCTTTCCCATTCTTTCCTTTTCCCTTCCCCTCCCTTTTCTTTTCTCTTCCCCATCCTATCTCTTTTTCTTCCTTTTCCCCCTTCCTCATCCCTTTTTTTTTTCCAGTACCAAGGATCGAACTCAGGACTTTGAGCTTGCCAGGCAGGCACACCACTGCTGAGCTACATCCTTGGCCTTCCTCATTCCCTTTTGAGACTGTCTTGCTATGCTACCCAGGCTGCTCCTGAAGTCCTGGGCTCAAAAAGTCTCCCACCTCAGCCTTCCAGGTAGCTGGGATTATAGCCTTGCACCACCCAACCTGAGCCATTTTCAGTTAGGGGCCCACCTATGAGCTCACTACAGCAGTGCATCCTTGTTAGAGTGGAGGACTCCCCATCATGTGCTGGCATGAGAATCTTTGTGCTTTTGTTTCTTTTCTAGGCATAGCTGCAATCCCCTTGTCCTCTTTGAAGCAGAAATCGAAAAATACTGCCCAGAGAATTTTATAGACATCAAGGTAGGATCTTTTGGAAGACATGTGGCATCGCTTCTCGGCCTTTTGGCTAAGATTGAGTGTATGTGTAGAAGATATGTGGCATTGAAGTTAAAACAACCACCTGAAATTTTTTTTTTCCATTAAGTTTATTGGTACATTTTAGGTATAAAATACAGTTTCATTCATCACTGGGATCTTGTACCTTTACATGATGCATCTTGGTTCTTATTTTTTCCCCTTCCCCTGCCCTCCCTTCACCCCCTCCACCCTTCCCTATTTGCAAAGACTTTGTTTCCATTTTCTTCTTTTCTCATATTTTTTCATTTCCCTTCTTTCCTTTCCCCTACCCCTCCAACTTCCCCTACTCCTTTAGAGGT